TTAATCGCCTTATTTGTTCTATAGAAACTACTCCCTGTCCCACATACTATGTACCATACTATATAAGCTATGGCTTACACACCACAAAGATGCTTGTGCCCTTCTTTCCCTGGTAAGTTGTATTTCCAAACAATAGAAGACCATCCTCCATTTCCAGTAAGGGCTACCCCTGCTTGGGTCTGCTGCTGTGAGCATGGCTGGGGTTGAATAAATAAATAAATACATATCATAGAATCATAAAATGGTTCGGGTTGGACGGGACCTTAAAGATCATTGAGTTCCACCTCCCCTGCCCTGGGCAGGGACACCTCCCACCAGACCAGGTTGCTCAAAGCCCCCTCCAGCCTGGCCTTGAACCCCTCCAGGGATGGGGCAGCCACAGCTTCTCTGGGCAACCTGGGCCAGGCTCTCACCACCCTCACAGCAAAGAATTTCTTCCCAAGATCTCATCTAAATCTCCCCTCTTTTAGTTTGAAACCCTTCCCCCTCATCCTATGGCTCTCCTCCCTGATCAAGAGTCCATCCCCATCTCTCCTGGAGCCCCTTTAGGGACTGGAAGGGGCTCCAAAGTCTTCCTGGAGCCTTCTCTTCTACAGACTGAACCCCCCCAACTCTCTCACCCTGTCCTCCCAGCAGAGGGGCTCCAGCCCTCTGATTATCTTTGTGGCCCTATCTAAAATTTTATATCTATATATTTAAAAAAATTTAGATAGATATATATATATAAATGATTCACTTAAAAAAAAATCTGTAGAAAGGATAGCTGTGTTTGGAAACGTGTTCACACAAATTAAAATCTCTCAGTAACAACCATATCAAAATTTCACAAGGCAGGAAACAGACCGGGCAGAGATAGCGAGGGCTCCTTTTGCCAGTGCCAGGGATGATTTCAAATTCTCATTCGGGGCGGCCGTCGCCGTGTGACAGACGTGTTGTGTCTCCCTTGCAGCTCCCCAGAGCCCGTGTGAAGGCAAGCAATCTGCTCAGCCAGCACACACACGCCAACATCAGGGTTGGCCACGGCTCGGCTTCCCGTGGATGACTCAGACAAGCCACCAACCCCAGCGTGCCTTCTGCCGCCAGGAGTTCGCCCAACACCCCAAATCCTGCAGGAAATATCGACACAAAGATGTCAGAAAGTGGCAGAGGTGGGAGATGGCAAGTCCCCAGGTCACCACCACAGCAAGGCACCCTTTGGAGAAGGATCACACCGGACCATGGGAGAGGAAACCCAAGCAGGAGTCTCTCCACCGCACAGCATCTCTGGCAGACTCTGGGTTTTTATAGAAATTCCATTTTTCTTACCTAATATGCCCAACCAGCTTCTCCTAGTGCCTTGCAATGGGTGAAACCACCCGTTCCTGCCAAAATCAGCCCCACCAGGACAGCCGGGGTCCAGGCCATTGTGAAACACAGCTCATCTCCCATATTTTTTAGGTGCACCCACATCCAAAAAAGAAAACCAGCCCTTTGAGAAACCTCGCAATTTATGGAAAAATCTGATCCCTGACTGCTTCTGATCACATCCTGCTGGTACAGACACGGTCCCTGGAGCTGTGAGGACAAGAGCACTGCACCTAGGAGGGAGATTGCATTGTCCCAAGATTAATTAACACGCTGTCAGAACAACCACTGGGATTTCAGAGGTTGGATGTTGCCCTCCTTGGGCTTCAAGTGGAAAGGGAGAAAAAAAAAGCTGAAGTTGGAAAGCAAGCCAAGCCCTGGACCGAATCAAGAGGATGGTCCATGTCCTCGTTTTAAGGTGGTTGGAGGGTCTCCAACCTGGGTGGTTGAAGTGGTACCCAAACCCTCCTTTGATTGGAACCAGCCTCTTCACATCTCACCTGCCTCAGGACACTGGGGACAATTAAATGACCCTTCATCACTCCCTCGAGTACAACCGTCTGGGTTCATACCCAGTTTGAAGGGGAAGAGGGCACAAAGCAGAGCAATGCTGGGCATTTAGAAAGAGCTGAAGGATTTTCATGGTGCTGTGGCTTTTAAAATTTGTCACTATTTCAACGACACCCATGTTCATGGTTTGGTTTCTGCCCAAAGCTGAAGCCTCTCTGGTTTGGTGCCGTAGGAGTAAATAAGAAGGGGGGGCAATATGGGACCACCTCCCCTCTCTGAGCTATGGGAATTGCAGAGAGAAGAGACAAAAACAGGATTCTGAGGAATTAAAGGCCATGTTTTCCCATGCATTTTCCTTCCCAGCAGAACTTTAACATTTAGGTCTCTTTCTTAATTAGCCCAGTTATGTGGCCATGTAATTGCTTCCAGGAGCGGCTCCCTCCCCTCCTGCCTGGCCTAAATATCCCTCCTGGTATGAAGAAAACATTTATTTCAGGTCAAATTATTTTTATTTTGATTATGGCACCAGGTTTCAGGCCTATAAACACATGTGGTTACCAGCAAAGGCAAAAAATTAACCGATCGGGTGCCAGAGCTGGATCCAGCACCCTTGGGCTCGGTCCCCAGCTCTGCTGTTGGTGCCCAGGGGCTCACAGTGGGGCCCGTGCCTCAGTTTCCCCATCAGTAAAGTGAATGCTTTGAGGTCTACTGGAAAGCCCAGTCTGGACACTTTGGTTTTCCTGTGCTTTGAATCACAAAGACCATCGCCCACAAGCCATTTCCACCCCACATAAAGCCAGACTGAAGGACACGTGCGGCCACGAGGACACCTCGCCATTATTCCAGCTCTTTGTCCAAAATCACCCAACCTTCCAGTCCCGTTCCTAGAGAGGCACTAAAGGCAGCCTGGGGGAATACCCAAACCTGTGGGGTTTTCTCCAGCACGCTTATCCCCCTCATCTTCCACTGCCCACGAGGAATTTGCTGCTTTTCACGCTGTTCCCATCCCGGGGAGGGCTCTGACCGTGTCCCACGCCCCGAAAGCCCGCCCCACCAAAGGCAAGAATGCTCCCCGTAACTTGCCTCATCCTGCTCGTCCCTCTGTGCCAGTCCTCCCACGCGGTGAGCAGCCTGCCAGAACGGCTGCTCATCACCAAAGAGCTACCAGAACCCTGGCCCTCGTACGGCTTCTCTTTCATCCCACCCTGCCACAGCCCCACAGCCCCGCGGCCAGCAGCGCATCCCTGCCTCCGGAATCCACCCGCTGCCATGGGAGCTGGCTGGGTTTCCTCCCTGGAAAGCAGGGATGCTCCACAGCAGCTGGCTGTGTTTCCTCCCTGGAAAGCAGGGATGCTCCACAGGCTCCTTGGGCTGGATCCTGCTTGTGGAGATCCCTGGTGGGTTGGTTGTGCCGGCAACTGGAGGGGGTCGGGCCAACCAGCCCCGGGCCGGTGGGCGAGGAGGGGATGGGACAGAGGGTGCTAAGAAAATCATAGAATAGAATCATAGAATCATAGACCCAGCCCCAGGCCGGTGGGTGAGGAGGGGATGGGACAGAGGGGGCTAACAAAATCATAGAATAGAATCATAGAATGGTTTGGGTTGGAAGGGACCTCAAAGATCATCGAGTTCCACCCCCCCTGCCCTGGGCAGGGACACCTCCCACCAGACCAGGTTGCTCAAGGCCCCGTCCAGCCTGGCCTTGAACCCCTCCAGGGATGGGGCAGCCACAACTTCCCTGGGCAACCTGGGCCAGGCTCTCACCACCCTCATAGTAAAAAATTTCTTCCTGAGATCTAATCTGAATCTTTTTTCTTCCAATTTAAAACCGTTTCCCCTTGTCCTATCATTACACCTCTTGGCAAAGAGTCCCTCCCCAGCTCTTCTACAGGCACCCTTCAGGTATTGAAAGGCCGCTATAAGGTCTTCCCAGAGCCTTCTCTTCTCCAGGCTGAACAATCCCTGGAAATGTGGAATCATAAAACTGCCGAAAGGGAAATGTTACGAGCGTGAACTGGGAAGGCTGCTCACACCGTCCTTCAACACCACCTCTCGCTTTGGCTCTCGCTAAAATCCCGTCACTTGGTCTCGCAGGAGGGAGGAACTTGGGGAGGGGGGGGAGGTAAAACCCTCCCCGAGTCACACTTCAGATCTGTTATCTGGCTGCACGCAGCAGATTGAAGAGGGGAGGTTGTGCTCTGCGTTTGCAACTGAAAATGAAACGTGATAACATCTCCAGAGTGGAAAATTACAGAGGCTAAGAGCAAGTGAAGCCCATAGAGGTATGAAACCAGGGCTGGTTGCCTCAGGGGGCTGCCTTCACCTCGCCACGGCAGGTCCGGGGCTCCTCTCTCCTGAACTCAAAAACCATGGGGTTTAAACTTATTCCTGCTCGAAATGGGTGCCAGGAGGAAACAAAGGCACAGCAGGCTCAGCGTGCAAAAATCGGCGCAGGACAGAAAGGGGGGAATTTATTAGAGAACTCCATCTGGAGGGGAAGGGCTCGGAAGGATGCTCTTCCCTGTAGCACTCCCATTACTCTGCCCACCATGGGCCCACCTCGGGAGGATGCTGAAGGAATTTTAGCAAAGCAGAGAAGAGCGTCATAGAATCATAGAATTGCCCAGGGCGGAAGGGACCTCCAAAGGTCAGCTAGTCCGACCTCCCCGCAGTCAGCAGGGACACCCCCAACTAGACCAGGTTGCCCAGGGCCTCATCGAGCCTCTCCTTGAATATCTCCAGGGATGGGGCCTCAACCCCCTCCCTGGGCAACCTGTTCCAGTGCTCCACCACCCTCACAGTAAAGACCCCGCTCCTCATCTCCAGTCTAAATCTGTTCCCCTCCAGCTTGAAGCCATTGCCCCTCGTCCTGTCCCTGCAGGCCTTTCTAAACAGGTTCTCCCCAGCCTTCCTGTAGGCTCCCTTCAGGTACTGGAAGGCTGCTATTAGGTCTCCCCGGAGCCTCCTCTTCTCCAGGCTGAATAACCCCAGCTCCCTCAGCCTGTCCTCATAGCAGAGGTGCTCCATCCCCCTGATCATCCTTGTGGCCCTCCTCTGGACCCTCTCCATCAGGTCCATGTCCTTCTTATATTGAGGGCTCCAGACCTGCACACAATACTCCGACTGCGGGGCTGCCACCCTCTTACCTGGGTCATCTTGGCGAGGTCCAGCGAGGGCCGTTGCTCCTGAACCTCCTCCGGTCTCCGTCGCTTGACCCCCACCTTTTTGTCGTTGAGGACGCAGGGCTGCGAGCGGCTCCGGGAGAGGCCTCCGGCCCGGCGCCCCAGCTCCGGCGTGGAGGCGGGGGTGCTGCTCGCCGAAGGTGGCCCATACTCCGAGGAGGAGAAGCGGTCGTGGGAGCAGGAGAGGGACCTCTGCATGTCCACCCGGTCTCCTCCCTGCCCGCTGGCGGCCGCTGATTTCCTAGGCTGGCATCCCAGCCGGTTGGCAAGGGCGGGATGCTCCCCGCAGAGGGGGTTGGAGCGGGAGGGCAGGCTGAAGCTGGAGCTCCTCTGCATGGTGGTGAAGCCGTTGGAGTAACGTTGCACACTCCCCCCGCTGTAACACCGCCGCTTCTCAACCGGGGTCCAAACCTTCGAGCCTAAGGGTCTCCAGGAGGTCCCACAGCCGGACATTTCGTCGGAGAAGGAGAGCGAGCGGCACTGGCGCTTGCTGGGGGGAGCGGCGGGGTTGCCGTGGGGGTCGCTGAGGCTGAGGTCTTTGATGAGGTTGGTGACGGAGCAGGTGGTGGCCGTCTCCCTCGGCCAGCGCGAGCCCTCCTCGCCCTTGTCCGACAAGCAGTCCCAGATGCTGGCGCCCGGCTGCTCCAGCTGAAGTGGACATTTCCTGCTGAGATCTCTCCATCTGTCATTTTCTGGTTGAGAAAGAGGGGAAAAAACACAACACACACACACACACACACGGGCATTAGCATTAATTAATTCTGCGATTTGCTTTCCACGTCCATAAACAAAAAGAGTAGCATATGGGATGTTTTCCAGTACAAATTAATTAACTCTTGGAATATGGTTTTCCGAACTGCCAGCGTAGATGGGGAGAGAGACAAAATGATAATCACAGTGGGAGAAAAACTGCTCAAAGAAGATAAAAACATGCCTTTCAATATCCAGATTGCACTAGCTAAGGGAAATGCAGCATTATGAAACAACATGGCCATTGCCTTATCTCTTGTGCTAAATCGTGCCTCAGATGTGCGCCGTTCGTCCTAGGCTCCACAATCAATAACTGAATCACAGAATCATAGAATTGTCCAGGTTGGAAGGGACCTTTCAGATCATCAAGTCCAACCATCAACCCAACACTGACAAAAACCACCCCTGAACCACATCCCTCAGCACCACATCTGTCCAGCTTTTAAATACCTCCATGGATGGTGACACCATCACAGAATCACAGAATCTTCTAGGTTGGAAGGGACCTTAAAGATCATCTTGTCCAACTTCCCTGGGAAGTCTCTTCCAAGGCTTAATAACCCTTTCAGTTTAAATATTTTTCCTAATATCCATTCTAAACCTCCCCTGGCACAACTTGAGGCCATTTCCTCTTGTCCTATCGCTTATGACTTGGGAGAAGAGACCCCCAGATTGCCCGAGAAGTTGACACAAACTGGATGTGAAGAGCACAAAGCTCTTCTTCACTGCTGGGGTGAGATGGACAAAACACCAGCAAGGAGATCAGAGAGAGTGGTTGGGACGGTCCCACCAGAAAGGGGAGTGCACCCTGGGCATCGAGCTGCCTTTTGTGGCACAGAAATACCAACAAGGCCATCAGAGCCTACGGGAAACCAAAAGCCATCCCAACACCCATCGGGCTGTCCTGCTCTCAGCCAAGAGTATTGTTCCATGAAGCCAATAAAACTGTATAAGGCTCCGAGCACCTCTCCAAAACCAACCCAAAGATACTGTCTCTAACAAAAGCCAATGCACATCATAAGCTCTAAGATCATAGAATCACAGAACGGCGTAAGTTGGAAGGGACCTTAAACGATGGACCTTAAAGACCATCTAGTTCCAATCCCCATGATAAACCTCCAGCAGTTCTTTGTGAGATGCTGTTCTTAGGTCCCTCTTGTGAGGCTCATTGCCCATCTCCCCTCCATTCCCAAATCTGGGTCCAGCTGGGTGCTGTGGCCAGGTGCCCCCCTGCCTGGTTAGCCACATGGCACGGGAAGGTGCTAGGGGAACCGGGTACCCACACCCTGTTCTGCAGCCACCTGGGCTTAGCATCTCTTTGGGGTTGCCTTGAAAATCCCCGTTATACCTTGCACAGCCAATTGTTTGCACTTCTGCCCTAAACATAACATTGAAGCATTCATTTAAAGGAGCAAATCACTTAATAGCTTGGTTTTTCTTTTCTGCCCCTCTCTTTCATTCGGCTTGTTTACGTGGGAATTTGTTTCCTCCCCCAACAAATTTGGCTGGCATTAACAGCCTTCCAAGGCAGCACAGCAGAAAAGGGCGGTTTCGGAGTCAGCATCAAGATCTCCCTTTTATCAGGTGGGTTTTGAGGTGCCTGGGTAAAACTCCAAGAAACCTGTGTCTCCAAAGTCCACGGGATGAGCTGTATGTGGCTGGGGAAGGCTGCAAACCCAGCTCCAGCTGCAGCCAGGAATCCCCCTGGGAGCCTTGTCCAAAGAGAGGACGAAGGGTGAGGATCTCATGTGCCCCATTCCACAGATGATATAAGAAGAAGAAGAAAAGCAAAGCGGCATCAAGGTCTGGTTCCCCGGCGTGGGTGAGAGGGGCTCTCTGCAGAGACGCCGTTGACGCTCAACAGGAAAACCATGGTGGGACAACCCCGGCGGCGGCTGCAATGGAAAAAAGTAATCACCCCACAGAGCTCCTCTGCTGACTGTTTGTGCCGCCGGCTGCCGCGCTCAGAGGCAGAGCATGCTCGCTAACCGGTGCTGCGAAGTTTCGGGTGATCGTATCTAAATCGTGCCTTTTTTTTTTTTTTTTTTAGGGGGTTTTGGGGTTTTTCTACTCGGGCGACTGAAGGATGAACTTCGAGCCATACCCAGCCTGCAGCTGCAGGTACCAGCCTCATCGGGGAGATGCAACGGTGCAGAACGCTTCCGACCGAGGCTCATTTTCAAGTCAGGAGGTCAGATTTTAGGGCCCCCTACACCATTTTTGGCCACTTTTCCCATTTCTCCCCCCATCTAGCTGCCACCTTAACAGCTCCAGCCACAACCAGCCTGGCTCTGCCCTCAATAACCACCCGGTATTTCAGCTCCCGCCGGCCTCATTTTAATAAACACAATGAAAAGCGAGAAACCCGCGCTAAACAACTACATCTATGTTTAGATCTTTATTATTTCCCCCCCCCACTCCGCCGCCTCCCACCCCCTGTTATTATGCTGCCAGCGGAGAGATTCCTTAGGTCAAGTCAGCAGACAAAAGAAACAGAAATAGAAGCTGATTTTTCATGGCAAGCTGCCACCATCCTCCGACCGGAGACGTCACGCTGTACAAAAGGCCTTGGTGAGGAGGATACGGGACACCTTCCTCTTTCACCCCCCCTTCGGCACAAACAGCTATAAATCTTCCAAACCTTGCAGAAAAAAAAAACCCAAAACTCACCAGTAATCACACTTTTATCCCCAGCACCAGCTTGGGGTTATTTGCTTTTCCCCTTGCACCGTGGGAGCTGGTTTTTTGGCAGGGCAGGGAGGGGACCCTGGCACAGCCTGGCCCCCTCCCTGAGCCCCCCGATCCATCCCAAACTAGGGGATAACCCAGAAAATAGGTTTTTTCCAGTGCAAACAGAACCAGTCCGCCCTGAAACAAATTGAAAATGGGGCAGTCTAAGGGCTGAGGGTGTAATTAAAGGCCTTGGGAAAGCCGTATGGAGGAAAAACAGCTGGTTTTGGGTTCAATTTTTTAAGACGAAGATTCACATCCTGAGCACACTGATAACGATAATTGCAGTGGAACCATTAATGCTGCTGCAGCTAAGCGTGTATTAATTTTCTTATATTACAAACCTCAACTCTGTTTACCCCCAGGCAGTAATTTGTTCCAGCATAAAACCCACCATGAGAACCCCCCTGGTTTGCAAGGGACCTGCTTCGCTGGAAAACTTGCCTTTTCCTATTGGAAAAACGACGGGAGAACATTTACAAGCAGAGAGCATGATGTAAGTGTGGCACGAGGGGCTCTTCCCCTGATTAAACAGGTCCTTCTTGGCTGTTAGTGTCCTTGGATGAAATAGCATCTTCCTTTTGGATTTTAACTTAAAACCGCAAAAATAAACACTTGGAGTCACTCGAGGAGCACACCCAGCACGTTTCTTCCCAGACGTTTTCATCTGCAAATCTGCATTTCCAGGGTGAGGCGACGCACGGTGAATTTTCTGGCACCTCTCTGGTTGTGAAACAGCTTTCCAGCTCCCCGGGACACAGAGGGGTGTTATCAGCAGCCTGGGGAGGACTGAATTTCTCGTCCTGCCCTTTCTGGCCGTGGCGGCAGGAGCCTGAAACCTCTTGCAAACCAGGCACGAAGCAGCAAGAAATTCACACCGGCGCAAAGCAGCATTAAATTCAGGTTACAGCTGCACAAGTCCAGGCTGCCCAGCCTCAGGGGGACCCAAACCTGAACTATTTCTGTTTTCCACCACCCAGTTGAGTGGCAGAGCCCTTGACCCTGGGCAGGGAGGAGCAGCCCTGCCGGGGATGCTCCCAGAGGGAGATGTTGGGTGTCAAAGAGCCGGAGCACTCAGGCTACAGGTGAAGAGTGGCCCTCACTGCATCTGCTCCCCACCCAAGGCTAGTGCCTCCCCAGCAGGACTCGCTGGGCTGGGCAAGTGGCAACAAGCCCCAGCAAGCCCTGACATGTCCCAGGTTCTGCCTGCCAAGCCATCCTCACCTGGGTTATTTTCCCCTCTCTCCTATTCTCAGGGACAAGCCAGAAGCTGCCTGCCTGCGAGCTCAACCCGCCCTGGGACCATCGAGATCCTGCTCAAACACCATCAGCACCATTAGCTATTCACAAGTTTCCTTTTGGGCAAACCCAACCCTTACAATGTCTATCTATTCTCCTGTGCAACCTTCACCGTCTCAAACGAGCCCAATGGTCCAGGGCATGAGGGCTGAAGTCACATCCCAAAATCAAGGAGAGTGGTGTTGTCCTCCAGATACCCCCAGAGCTTCGCACAGTCAACCCCTGGAGAACAGGCTCCATCCTCAGAGCATTTTAGCCAAATGCTGAGCTCCAGGTTTTGCAGGAGCATCACATGACACGTCAGGCACCTCGGCAGCTTCGGGATGGTCACGGGCTTTTTAAACGACTGCTGTGCTCCTCTGGTGACAGAGTCAATTTTAATGACCACACTCATAACCACGGAGAAGGGTGTAAAACCAAAACGCTGACACAACTTTAACTACAGCGACACAAATGTGCTGCTATAATATTTTTACAGTTCCTTTTTATACATAATGCATGATCCTTCTGCTCAAGTTTCCTCTACGTTCTTTTCCCGTGAAATAATTTACATTAATACATAATTTATTACGGCAACTTGTAAAGCAATTAGAGGTTTCAATCAATTTTTCTTCTCCTTTCTGGCAGATAAATTCTGTTTGGATCCTAACCCAAACATTTCTCTTCGCGCGGGTGCGCATCCAATTCCCCTTTTTTCCCCCACGTTGTCCAAGTCAAATTTCGGTCTCCTGGTCTCTGTGCAGCGGGGAAAAGGCAGCCTGCATTTTCCACTGCCCCCTGTTTACGTTCAAGAGATGATTTCTAAATGTGGAACAAATTTAATGGTTGTAATTAGCTGACGGCAGTGCCACAGAGCCTTCCCATCGCACAAATAAGATTAAAATACGATGCGCGGAGCTCTGCTTCATCGGGAAAGAAAAACAACAGCCCTCAAACCTACCGCTGGAGAATAAACACACCGAGGGCACAGGGAAAAGGAAATTCCCCACCTCAACAGCGAAACGTGCCCTGCTCTTCAACGCGATCCCCCGGCGAGGTCTCCCCGCTCCAGCTACGCCTCCTCGGCTTTCCCTGCGCCCCTTTGTCTCCTTGCAGATGGACTGTGCCTGAACATGCACCGAGATGTTGTTTCTCCACTGGTGGCTTTCCAAAAAACCACCGAAACCCCCAGGAAATTCAGAAAGAGGAGGCCTGCGAGCCCTGCATCGGGAGGTAGAGCAGCAGGAGGGTGCTGTCAGGATGTGATTGAGGGGCATCAACCCCATGAAGGGGCCTTTCTCCTCTTTGCCTCCCGTTGGCCGCGCTGTCAGTCCAAACTTCACTGTGGTTATTTATCTCGGTGCTCTCCATCAACAGGGACTTGGCCCTTGGACCAAATATTCCCCCAGTTTCACATTCGGTGCCGTTATAACCATGGGAGTTATTTAACACGTAGAGCAAGTTTCGATGCTGGATTGGTCTGCGTTCCCAGCCCAGGTTTGGAGACATCGAGAAGAGAATTTTTGTAATATGCCTAAAATTAAACCCAAGGCAACCAATGCCCCAGCACGCTGGAGAGCCCGGCTCCTCTTGACTGGGCACGACGAAGACCATTACATGAAAAACTGTGCTCAACGAGGTAAGACTCAGTACCCACAGAAAGAGGACAATGTGGCAGCCAAGAAAGACCAGCGCAGCACTATGAAGATGCAGAAGGCTTTGTAAAAGCTCCTCATGATGATTGAAAAGCTCCTAAGTTGCTTTTCAATTAGGCACAGACTCTTCATATCTGCTGAAGAGCCTGCCAGTGCCAGAGCACAAGACCATCTGATGGGGTTTCTTTGTTCCTCACTCACGGTTGACAGGCAGGAGAAAGGGACCAGGTTGTCTCGACCCCTTCTTGACTTTGAAGCTTGTGACTTTCCCCTGAAAATGTCCAAATGCTTTCCATCTTCCCCTGCCCCCAGCAATGACTAGAGTTATCAGAGAGCTTGGGAAATATCTCCCCTCAATGCGTGTACTCGGCTCCCATTAACGCTAATGAGAGTCCTCTCCATGAAGGAAAGGGGAAGCCTCTTTGTCTCTAAAGTACTGGCTTTCGTACCAAGTAGCCTGGCTCAAACTTGACCTACAATTTTAATTGGGTTTTGAGACTTCGCCTAGTGACTGGCTCCCCCCACCAAAACCCAAAGAACAGAATATAACAGCCCATCCTCCAGCACTATCAGTTTTTCAGGATCACCAACAAAGGCACCAATCCCCCATCAATTCCAGAGACCATTCAGTATAAAAATTGATAGCAAACTCTGACATGAAAGGTATCAAACACCTTATACCATGGTTATTGTCAAAGGCTAAGAAAAAAAGATGTTTTTCTTATTATTTGAGGCCTGTCCAAATTCCTTGTCCCAAGTGGTAGAACATTTTAGTGATAATACTGATACTTCTTACTTGCATTTGCAAACAGTTGTGAGCCACAGCCATTGGCTGGATACCCAAACACAATCACAGACCCAAAATGCTTATAATCTCAACTGCACAAGTTATTTTAAAAATAAGCAGACATATCACAGCACTGAGGAGAGAGGAGGAGACAAGCAATTCCCTCAGCAATGGCAATGGGGCAGGACACCCACCTCTGGGAAGAAGGGTGGCACGGGCGTGATGGCCACTACTAGTGGGTGGTGGGGTGGGTGCTCCTCCATCCCCACCATGCAGGGCAGGTGGGTGGATGTCCACCCTGGGGTCTGCAGGGGAGTGGTTTTTTGGAGAAATCCAGCTATTCAGGACATCTTCCCGCCCATGGCTATAAGGAAGCAGGAGCGGAGGTGGAGTAAATACGGACAGAAGTTTCTGTTACTTACCCATCACGCCACAAGAGAAGAGGGTAGGTCCTTGACTCATCTTTGGAGTGTGCTGCAAACAACCAGAAAAACTATTCACTTCTCGCAGACTCGACCAGGGCACCAGAAACCACCCTGCCTCCAGCCTCGGCAAAGCCACACGGCACCCGGTGGGGAGGAGAGCCCCGGGCACCCACCACAGTCCCCTTTTGGCAGGGACCAAGGGACAGACCTGGTCATCCTCCCTCAATGAAATCGAATTTAATTAAACACTACAGAGAGTTGGTGTCGAGGCCTGAGCTTGGATATCATGGTTCCTGCACCTAGTCCTTACCCACAGGAACAGCCGAGGTCAGGTCCCCACCTCTAGGACCCAAAATACCAAAGAAACTAAACCAGGAGCTGCAATTCAGCAGTAATTCTGGACTGGGCAAGGAAGCAGCAGCGGTGGTATCTGAACCCCGTCCAAGCCCACTAAGTCCTCCTGTCTAGGTACAAAGCAGCTATTTGGGTATTTTTTTTTTTAAACATATATCGTGTTTCTAAGGCAAAGTGTCCTCACCCCAGGACTTCTGGGGAGTCTGCGTTTGGATTGCACTGATTTGCACTAAAAATAGGGGGAAATGCCACTATATGGGTACAAAATAATTCTTGATTGTTTTTTCCAAGAATTTTCTTCTTGCCAGTGTAACAGACATCGTCAGTCTTCTAAAAATGGCCATGGACAGTTTTATATACAATAAATCAATATGTCATCTGCAGCTACATGCCATTTCAGCTATGTCTGCAAAAACACGCTTTCATACTAATTGTTCTTTTATTATCCCCCAAAATATCCACATTCTGCTTCTGAAGTGCCTTTCCTGGCAACACCAGCCCCTCTGGCCGAGGCTTTGCACCATCTGGGGGAAGCACCAGCATGACCTCCTCGCTCATCTGCGCTGCCATAGCTGTGCTTTGGTTGGCCTTAGGCCACCACGGCCACATCTTCTCTCCTGAGCCATGCTCTACACGTTGCCTGCTCGCAGGACAATATTAATAACGTACCAAAACCACCCATACCTGCCTGTACAGAGCAACCCAACAAAAAGATCCCACTTCCTGTACGGAATATTGCAAATATTGAACACAGAGGGATGGGATGTGGAGGCTGAGAACAATGACGGGGTGCAGATGGGGAGAAGATACATCAGGGTCGGTCACCTTCTTTGGAGCACGTGCCACATTTCTAGGTGAAGTCAGGCTATTTCTGTCACTTTATGAAGGAGCAGGTTAAATTAATGTCCCCAGCTTACAAAGTTGAAGGTACAGTTAACGACCCCAGCTTATGAAGCAAGAGGTAGAATTAATCAGGAGACAGTGAGGACAGGGAGTTGTCTCCAAAGAGTGGCCAAAGCGATGGACAAGCCCTGGAGAAGGCAGTGGCTGTGCCAGCCCCCCTCTGTGTACCAGCCCCAGAGACCAGCCACTGCCTGCCAAGGCGGGAGGGAGAGGAACGTCTTTAGATGACATATGTCTCATATTGAGTGTAATTACCCTTTCGTAAGAGTTTCATCTAACACCAACTTGGGAACTGAACCAAATGAGCCCGTCGGGCGTTGGTGGGCGATGCTGTCCCACAGCTCGGACTTTTATTTCCTTTAGGTTTTCCTTTTTGGCTTTTCCCATGAAGTCAACGGAAAAATTCTTGCTTTCCTCGGTGGATCAGACTTCTGATGAACATCTGCCCCAGTTTAACAGCCCAGCAACCCAGCCTGCGTAAGCAGGACTGTCGTTCTGCTGCTGACCCAGCCCCAGAGCCACGGGAGGCACTCGGCAAACACGGGAGGGCAAAGTTTCTCCTCACAGCTCTGCCGTCGGACAACCCCAGTGCCCATCCCTTCCCATGGCAGCAGGAGAACAAACTACTTCTCATCCACCTCTTCGCAGCAAGTTCTCCTCCACCTGCCCCACACACCTCCTGGGGCACACATCAGTTGTCGGAGGCTCAGGCTGACCCCCTCAACATCCCGAGCAGCAGCCACCTTCCTGGCAGAAGCCACCCCTAAAGCAAGGATGCTTTTTTCTAATATATCAATATCCTTTCCTTCCCAAATATCACCCTTTCAAGGCAGGATTTAAGGCTGCCTCTGGCTTGCTCATCATCTCCTCCACCGTGCACTGCCAGGTCAGCCCGCCTTCGCCCCAGCACGCTGCGCTATCTGCCCAGGAAGCCCAGTTTGTCATCCTCAAGCAAACTTAGGCATTTATATTTCTGTAATGCTCAAAATGCCCATTTATGGCCAACCCTGCCAGATGCTTCCTGATGGGCTCCCGCATGCCCTTATCTGAGGTTCTCAGCGCACCCCGCGAGGAGCAGCCCTTTGGTCTAACATCTTCTCGGACTATGACCATCTCTCCTGGAGGGCAGAGGAGCAAATATCCCCAACCAGCCTTGCTCTGGGCTTCCTCAGATGGCTTTCCAGCATCCCACATCTCCGCCCTGTTCCCCCATCTCACTTGCTCCAACATCATCCCCAAACAACACGTGGCCCCTCGTTGCCCTCTACCATCGGTACGCTCAGCCCCACGGCCTCGCTCACCCCCTGTAGCACCTTTTAATCTGTTTCTTGCCACTGATTTGTTTTTTTTTTGTTGCCTGCTCATTTGGCGTGGTTGGATTTGCATCTCTCCAGGCTGCCAACGAGACTGTTTAGCACCACAGCACTGCCCTTCTCCATCTCCCACTTAATCCCACTCCCCACTTGCTCATCCTCCTATTAATGATGAGCAGCTGTTCCCTGTTGGTGAAGCAACTTCTCACCCGTGTCATTCCCAGTGCTGATTTTATATTTTTCTGCCATTTATTCCATTGTGTGCCTACTGAAATTCACGTATGCAAGAGCCACAGCACTCCAATCATTTACTAATCGCCTGCCCCTTGGATATTAATGCAGCTCGGGAGAAATCAGTGACACAAACCATCTAAAGATCTGGCCCCACAGCATGAAAAAAACCACCCCACATCATAAAACTCCGGCGAAGCTCTCGGCAGCAAAAGAGTTTTGAAGGAAGATTTCCCAAAGCTTACCAGCTCAGTCCTGCATGTTACGGAGTCAGCACCTTTGTTTTCCCGAGTTTTGGTTAAGATCATCACCATGGTAATGCAGTCCTGCCTCCGAGTCCATCAGGGTCCAGGCCAAGGGCGCTGACAGCCGGGGTCTGGCAAAAATCCTTTTTTTTTCAGTGCATCTTCCCCCCGGGAAAGGATCGGCTCCACCGGCTCCTCGGGGGATGCCTGGGAACAGCCTCCCAGCGCCGAAAACTCCCTGCACACAGACAGAAAGAGGAACAGCTTTAAGGGACTCGCCTTGGGGGGGGGTGGCGGGAGGCAAGCACTGCCCAAAAACCACCCCAATGGCGGTTATTCTATATGAGTATTTATTTTAGACTCTGAAATTTTGTCAGTGTTCCTCTGCACCCCGTCAGCAGAGACGTGTGTTTCACGGGACGGGCGCTCGCAGGAGCTGTTGGAAGCACGTAAGGCACACAAGGTGATCCGGAGGGACAGAAGCATTGCAGGCAAATAAATAAAGAAATAATAAATTAATAAATAAATACAGCTCCCTCTGAATTCTCCCTTTGAAAAGGAGAACTCATATCCCCTGTATCGAAGATACTGAGGCTTTGAAAGGAGGGCTCATTAAAGCCTCGGGGCTGATCTCACAGAAGCCCTTGCCCCCAGACCAGATGTCCAGCAGAAAAAAAAGCCTCTCCAGCATTAAGGCTGTGAAATCCCTTGGATGCCCCTGTCCCACCCCAGCTACTCCCCAATTCCCATAAAGAGTCCTTTGGGGAAAAAAAAACCAAGGCAAAGAGCTGCCTGCTAGGAAGGAGAGTGCTCCCTACCCTGAAATCCGAAGGGACACACTACAAGTCTTGATCCTTACCTATTTCTCAGGTAGTTTTAGGTAGGAAAAGCTAAAGACCGTAAAATGAGGAGCACATATTAAAAAACAAGCTGCCAACCCGGCTCACAGAGCACCCCACAGACCCCATGAGCAGTTGCCCAGCTCTGCCTCACCTCCCGGCATCCTCTCCCATAAACTTATTCCCGTGCAAAAGCGGACAGCTTGCAATTCAAATCTGATTATAGAAATCAGTGTTTTCCCCCAAATCACTCCCCTAATCCCGTTTTGCTATTTTGTTGTCTTGCAGTTAATGCCGACAAACAAAACCACCATTTGCATGATCCCAAGAGCATGAAACGCTGATCTGGTAACGCGCAGTCAAAAAACCCAACTGCAACATTCAACAGCAATATCTGAGGATATGCCCAAGTATTAAACCTCATTACAAACTGATACGGCTTTTTTTCCCCGCTCGTAAATCATCTTTTCTGTGTTTAGGTGGATTAGCCCTTGCGACGGTGTTATGAGTAGCTCATTTGAAGGCCAGCTGGCTGGTAAAGAAAAATCACCTTCTATTATTTTGGGAGGACAAGGTTCACCCAGAGTGCAAAGCCTGGATTGGGAATCAATACATTTCCCAAAGATTTACTGTTCCCAAGGGCACCTGGTGCAGTCTCCAGCTTCTTATGGGACACCGGCGGGCTTAGATACCATTCACTGGTAGCTTCATCATAAACCCCTGGGCAACCCAACAACCAACTGGGAACCATCAAATAGAAAAGTAAAGCGTTTCAGACCACCAAAATGACACATAGTTTGCGAGGTCCCACATTTATAGTATGGATGGCCTGGGTTCATGTGAGGAGAGCACAACACAAGGGAGGATTGGGTGGCTGGAGGACCAGTTGACTAACACAGCAACATGCCCATCACCAGAGGGCTGCAACCCCCCGTTGATCCTGGAGGCAGCTCAGACACCTCTGTTACAGCACGTGGATGCCCTAAGGGTATGCTCAGGAGCCTCCTCAAGCCCTTGCCAGAGACAGCTGAGGACATCAAGCTGTTTTCCCGGACTCACTGTACAGTTGTTAATAAGCTCCATGGGAGTTCTACGTTTATCTATTTTGATGGTCTTTGCATCAAATACATTCGTATGCAGCAAAACTTAGAGGTCCTGTTCAGGTGGGACAACTGCTTACCTCAGGCTCTGAACAAACACCAGGCAAGGGGATGCTCCCCAAAAAGGGCTGCACGTAACGGGGGATGGATGGGGACAAAGGAAAGGTGTGTGGAAGTGAGGACCAAATAACATGGACACAGCAATACCGGAGAAAATAAGCAACACGTGGCACCCACGGCAGCCACACAGCACCCATCTCCTGTTCCTTCTCGAGAGTAGCCCAGCGGACAGGAGATGCTCAGGACACCGGTGGGCTTATATGCAATTCACTGGTAGCTTCATCATAAACCCCTGGGCAACCCAACGACCAAATGGGAACCATCAAATAGAAAAGTAAAGCATTTCAGACCACCAAAATGACACATAGTTTGCGAGGTCCCACATTTATAGTATGGATGGCCTGGGTTCATGTGAGGAGAGCACAACACAAGGGAGGATTGGGTGGCTGGAGGACCAGTTGACTAACACAGCAACATGCCCATCACCAGAGGGCTGCAACCCCCCGTTGATCCTGGAGGCAGCTCAGACACCTCTGTTACAGCACGTGGATGCCCTAAGGGTATGCTCAGGAGCCTCCTCAAGCCCTTGCCAGAGACAGCTGAGGACATCAAGCTGTTTTCCCGGAGTCACTGTACAGTTGTTAATAAGCTCCATGGGAGTTCTACGTTTATCTATTTTGATGGTCTTTGCATCAAATACATTCGTATGCAGCAAAACTTAGAGGTCCTGTTCAGGTGGGACAACTGCTTACCTCAGGCTCTGAACAAACACCAGGCAAGGGGATGCTCCCCAAAAAGGGCTGCACGTAACGGGGGATGGATGGGGACAAAGGAAAGGTGTGTGGAAGTGAGGACCAAATAACATGGACACAGCAATACCGGAGAAAATAAGCAACACGTGGCACCCACGGCAGCCACACAGCACCCCATCTCCTGTTCCTTCTCGAGAGTAGCCCAGCGGACAGGAGATGCTCAGACCCCGGTGCGTGTCTCCAAGCTGGGGGGGCTGAGCCAGGTTTAAAGCCCTCCCAAGGATGTGGGGCAGGAGGCTCTTTGGGAGGCTCCAGCCTCCCCCCCAGCGCCGGAGAAGCCCCTGGAGCAGAGCTGGCAGTGCCCTCCTGCTCCCCAGTGCCACACCATCGAAAAAGCACAGGAAGAAGAAGTAAAAACACCTAAAGTTTATATTTTTATCTGCCCCAGACTCAGTTGTCCCTGATGCAGAGCCTGCTGTGGGGCTGGACTCTGGGGCTGATGTGGTGGCAACTTGGGAGAGTGAAGACCAAGCAAGCGTCCAGAGCAGCATGAAAGCGGTTAAGCACGGTTCCTCGTTAACAGGGTACGATTTCTCCAGGAATAATTATCTTTCCCTAAGGTAATGATTAACGTCACCGCAGCCGGCTCCTACCCACAGCCCGGCGTGCGGGCAGCCAGCGGGCAGGACCGGTGGCAAGTACAGGCAGGGGCTCCTTGCCCGAGCTGGACAGGCTGCAACACACACCACCTCGTACCTCCTCTCCACCTCCTCCACCCCATCTCCTGCCATTAACACAACCCTAACGAGAACATCATCAAACACCCGCAACAAAAGAGTTAGGGCAACGAAATCAGTGAAGGGCCTGGAAGACAAATCACATGAAGAGCGGCTGAAGGAGCTGGGACTGTTTAGTATGAGGAAGAGGAGGCTGAAGGGAGACCTCATCACTCTCTACAGCTACTTGAAAGGACACTGTAGAGAGGTTGGTGCTGGTCCCTTCTCACAGGTAATTAATGACAGAATGAGAGGGAATGGCTTCAAGCTGCAACAGGGTAGGTTTAGACTGAACATTAGGAAGGAATTTTTCACAGAGAGAGTGGTCGGGCATTGGAATAGGCTGCCCAGGGAGGGGGTTGAGTCCCCATCCCTGGCTGTGTTTAAGGGACGTTTAGATGCAGTGCTGAGGGATATGGCGTAGGGGAGGACTTTGTAGAGTAGGGGAGATGGTTGGACTAGATGATCCCAAGGGTCTCCTCCAACCTGAATGATTCCATGATTTTATGATTCTATGAAAAGGGCAGTGAACACCACCCCACCTCGGGTCCGAGGCGGAGCTTTAGCTCCCCAGGCTTTTTCATCTACCGCTCGGTCAGGTTTTGAAACCATCCCCGCCGAGAAACTGCAATAGAAAGGAAAAATTTTCCGGTGAAATGTGATCTTTGGCTCCTCATCCTGCTGCACCAGGGCTCCTGACGCACGGCGTGACCCAGCACGGTCCTGCCCCATCATGTCCTCTCCCTGCAAACGAGTGCTGGGGGGACAGAAAGGCTTCTGCCCAGCTGGGATGTTCTCCCCATTGACTTTGAGGAGGAAACCAGGGTGTATTTATAGACCGGAGGCTTTCACACACACATGCTAATAAAAAGATATTCTTCAGGGACCATTAATTATTTTAAGAAATGTATTTCCTCATTTGCAATCAGATAAAGGAACTATCTCCATCTCACCATCAAGGTTAAGTTCAGAGTTGGGCCACGGCCACTGGGATGGACACGGTCTCCTGAGATCAACAACAGCCTCTTGGGCTTGGAAAAAAATTACGCTGCCAAAAAGAGTAAATCAGATGATCCAACATTCACCCACGGGCTTGAAAGGCAATGTTTGTGAACAGATAAGCTCCTTGGACAGTGCCAGCAAGGAATAAAGTCCCAGAGCTGCTCACCATCGGCAAACAGCCCTTCCCCGCAGGGAGGTCCCGCTCCCCACCACGACTGGTGCTACCACAGCAGACTCCATCCCTGCACCATCCAGCTGCCGAGTTACATCCATACCCCACTCCCCTGCTACTGAAAAGTATGGAAAAGACCTTGGAATTTACCAAAATGTTGGATGTCTGATTGAAGGGACGAAGGGAGCCTGAACAGTAACCAGTATCATACACCCATATATCTGACCCCAGCAGAACTCCTCGCCAAGACGACTGAGGACCAGCATCACAAAGATTTCCACTTGCTGTGGGACCATCACCCTCAGTAGAGAGAACATTCAACCCTTGCCCAGCTCCAACAACCCATCTCCAGACACACACACTGACACGAAGCCTATGTACAGGCAGAAAGGGCACACCAGAACGAGGAGCCAGAGCCGAATTCTGCACAGATACACCTTGCAAGCAGCACAGAGGGATGGCTCTCAGAATACAAATCACCTGCCCCTGCTGAATTTTTAAACTCTGCTGCCCAAAGCCTTCAGTGAAAAAACAAGG